TCATCAGATCTCAGTTTGCCTAGGTGGACCTCTACTTAGTCCTCTGCACAGAGCCTGTCTCCTGGTCCCAGGAGGGCATATGGCATGCACCAGAGTGGACACAAAGCCCTCACAGCTACCTGGGGCACAGTCCTTGCTCAGTACATGGTGATCACTACAAAAGGTGGGCAACATGAGGCCACAGAGCCCAGTTCATGCAGTCCAGCAGCCCCTCCCTGAGAAGAGCAGTTGGCAAGACCCCTGGGAGACCTGACTCCACCATGAAACACCCCCTCAGCTCTTCACCTGAGGCTTCCTGTGCCCCAGGAGGAAACTGGCATCTTTGGTCTCTAGTGCTTACCATGGGGGTCATTGCATCCACCTACCCATATCCTACCGGGAAAAATCACCCCGGGACAGAGAGCAGCAGGTGGTTGTCAGCCTGCAGGCCTAGGAGACTGTTTGGGACATGCCAGACAGAGCTGCACCTCGGGGACCGGGCCAGGGCAAGCCAGGCTCTGCAGAGCCACTGAAGCTGAGGCACCACATGCACACAGCCACTTGGTAGAGCTCAGCCATAAAGAGGTACTCATCACAGAACCCAGAAAGAGCCGAGACACTGGTCCCAGCCAGGACGCTGCTCATGACTGGCCTCCAGAAGGCACACCTTCCCTGGTCTTGGCCTCTCTGGCCTGCATCTCAGGATCTGGTCAGAGACTAGCCACCAGGGACAAGGAACATGAATACTCCTGGCAAGCCTAGAGGAAAGTCAGTACCAGGGGTGGGGCCTCTCAGCCAGAAGGGGCCTCTGGGGTCCAAACTAACCCTTCCAGAGGCCCATGGGGGCTGAAGGGGCTCCTTCCCCGGCCCCAGAGAAGCTTCCACTCACCTCTGTCCTGAGCTGCACTTGCTCAGCCCCCCACACAGACAGAGGTGGAACTTCCCTATGGGTATCTCTCTCCAGGGTGGGCACCCCTCTCCCCTGCTGCATGCTGTGCCCAGATGTCTCACACTGGTCAACTCATCCAGCCCCACCTAAGCCTCTACCACCTGTGCCACCTGGGAGCACTGCCAGCCTGAAGACTGCTGGGTCACCCAGCCTGGCCAGAAGGAAGCTGGCAAGAGGAACAGGCCAGTGGCCAGTGGCGCTCTCCCTTGCAGCCAGCCCAGAACCCATAGCCCAGACCAGCCTCTTTAGTCCACCTGCTGCAGGCCAGGCCTCCACAGCTCCTCTGCCAAGTGTCACCGAAGGACACACAGGGAGATGCCTCCTGCGCCCAGCTTTAGGGAGCTTTAGGGATGGAGGAGACAGCAGTGCTGCCTCTTACTGAGACTGAATATACATGACACAAAATGTATGATGTTGACTTTTGTTTTTTGTTTTTTGTTTTTTTGTACTGGGGATTAAACCCAGGGGCCCTCAACTACTGGGCCATATCCCCAGCCATTTTTATTTTTTTGAGACAAGGTTTCACTAAGTTGCTTAGGGCCTTGCTAAATTGCTGAGGCTGGACTTGAACTTGAAATCCTTCTGTCTCAGCCTCTCAAGTCACTGGGATTACAGGTGTGCACCATCACTCCCAGCTAGTATTGACTTTTCAAGTGTCCATTCACATTGTCATACAGTCATCTCCACTGTGCTTGTCAACTTTCATCCTCCCAAACAGAATCTCTGTTCCCCTCAACTGGCTGCCCAGCCCCTGGTACCCCTCCCCTTCCATTTCCTGTGGCTTGGTGACTCTGGGGACCTCACATAAGTGGATCCCATGGTAATGTGATGATGTCCTCGAGGCTCAGCCATCCTGCAGTAGGTGCTTGAGGCTGAAGGATCCATGTGGCTGGCCACACACTGCTTACCCATCATCCTCCCTGGTCATGTGGGCTGTGCCACAGAACTCTGAGCTACAGAACACTCCTGCTGTGACCACCGTGTACAAACGTCCCTTTGCAACTCCACTTCCACATCTGGCTCTGGATCCTAGGCAAGCCCACAGTTAGTGCTCGCATGCACTGACAACTGTGCCCAGAAAGTGTGCAGAGTAGGGACGGCCTACACTGCTCCCAAGGCCAATCCCTTGCTCAGGAGCCCCAGCCAGAGAATGGTTTTACCCCATCTCTGGCCCACATCTGCTGTTGGAGGCCCTCAGGCCCCCCATCTCAGGCACAAACTCTTGGTGCTCCCCCTGCCCTTCCAACCCTCCTGCCCTCCACCTCCCACTTCGCTCTCCACCTCAGCTTTGCCCCTCACATCTCTGCAGGAGTCTCTTGAGCCACCTCCCTCTGGGTGGCTCTGCAGCTGTTGGGGCACCACCATGTGAGGTATCCAGCCCATGGTGAGGTATGTATGGACACTAGGCACCAAGGATCCTCAGGCCCTTCCTGCAAAAGTCACACCAAGCCTCAGTACTAGTCCCACCATCCAACCTTCCACTGGACCCTCCTAATCAGGCCCTGCACCCTCTAAGAGTGCTAAGCACTGAATCTGCCTGAGACTTCTCCCCATCTGGACCATTCCCATGAAGGACACCCAGGGCTGTGCTGGGTCCTCAAGTCTGCAGATGAATAACAGGTCCTTTGGGAAAGATAGGTGAGGCTCAGCCACTCCATGGAAAAAGGCAATCTTAAGACATTGTGCTTCTTAATGAACTGAGAAGGACATCAGAATGACACCATGTAGCAGGGGACCTTCCCAGGGATCTGGGCTCCTTTAGACTTTTCTTTTAGGGGTGACGGGGATTAAACTAGAGGTGTTCTACCAGAGCTACACTCCTAACTCTTCTCTTTCTTTCTTATTTTGAAGTAGGATCTTGCTAAGTTGCCCAGGCTGGCAACTTGTGATCCCCTAGCCTCAGCCTCCTGAGCCACTGGGATTAGAGGCCTGTGCCACCACACCCAGTACTTCAGAATTCTCTAGGAATCCCTGCTTCTTAAGGGTCTCGTGGCCTAGGGGCAGAAGTCTGATGTGGAGGACATGGTGGCCAGCTGCCCACTCCTGCAGGAGCACACTGCATAACTGATTTTCAACAGACCCCTTGGAGCCAGTGTGGGATCCTGCAACCCTAGCCCCTCTTATTCTGCCCCATGATAAACATCTCTCAGCCTCTAACTTCTTCTAAGTCTAAATGTGCAGAACCCAAACCAGATGTGCCTGCCTCATGTTCTGAGAATACCACCATCAGAAATGCGTCTCTGTAGACGTAAGTACTTCGTAATGAAACACACAGTTTCTTAAATGAGCCACCACACTGTAACTGCACTATGGGCCCAGTGTGGAAGCTGAGAAAGTGAACTATGGGAGAAAAACCCATAACCGGGCTTGGGGGGCCAAATGGGCCACAGTGGCAACAGGCCAGGTCCCTGCAGTCTGTGGCACCCAGGTGTCCTGGCCCTTCCTGCCTCCATCCACTGGCTGTGTGAGCGTTTCCACTGCCATCATGGCTGCCAGTCCCAGAACTGGGGAGTCCTCCCTGGAGCTCCTGCATGCCCCCAGCAGCTGAGACAGAGCCCCGGGCCTGCACAGGCAAAAACCACCCACTTCACAAGCCCCAAAGGACAAAGGCAGAGAAGGAGCTCCACATGACACAGGTGGATATTATTTAATGGTAAGTGTGTGCCAGATCATCTGTGCAGGCACAGGCATCTGGGTCCCCAGGCCCACGCCCGCACTCACCATCAACGGCCACACCTCATCCTGTCCCAACTGGTTGAGAGGTCACCTGGCTACATGTTCTTCCTCTCTGCGTCACCATGACCCCAATAAGCAGGATCAAACAGCATCATCACTGGTCACTGAACTCAACTCCCGGTTCAAGTCGAAGTGCAAAATGCTGCCCTGCACAGTTTGCCCACCCCCACATTAGCCTCCTGAAATGCACCCTGGCCCTCAACAAGGCCTGCAGGACACAGATGTCCACACCAGGCTAGGCAGAGGCTGTACCACGTGCAGGCACCAGGATGACACCCTGCACACCCCTAGCAACTAAGGCAGGCAGGTAGACCTCACACATGAGGACAGCAGGATTATATCCCTAAGCCCAAGCCACTGGTAGCCACTAGCTGCCACAGAGACTCTTCCCAGAACTCCACAGGGTATTAAAGCCCCACCCAGATTAAAACACAGATCCACAATCCCCAGAGGTTGGGATAAGGGAAAAAATACATGTCCCATGGCCCCAGGCCTCTGGGGAGGCCCGAAGAGTAGGCTGGGAATGCACCAACCAAGTAAGAAGCCACACAAGACCAGTCAGGACCAGCACCCTGGAGGATGCCATGACAACGTCTCAGGGTAGGTCACCACATGGGTGGGCATCAGCTCAGCCACATGTCTATCTCATGGCGTTATGTCCTTGTAGGAAAATGGCCCCAACACAGATCCTGGGGAAAACACACAGCCCACAGCCCCCACACTGGGTCCCACAGACTTCTCAATCACAACTAACCAACAGGAGAACATTCTCTTCCAGCCCCAACATCCACTAAAGGGTGTGACTGGCATGGGAGGACTTGAGGTGGGCCAAACCCCGCTGGCATGGGGCTGGTGGCAGGGCAAGGAAGAGACGATTTCAGATCAGCGAATAGGAACAGGTTCTTAAAGCATCCTGACTCAGCTGCATTGGAGCAGGAGCTCAGGTGAGGCTCCTACCCGGTGCCTACCCAGGTCTTGGCAGAGCAATTGTGGAGGGAAGTTTGAAACCCAGCTGAGAATGAGCAGCTGTGAGCAGCAACGAGCCAAGTTTAGAGAAAGGGAAACTCGGGTCCTTGTTTTAAAACACAGATGGTATTTAAGAAAAAGAAGGAACGACAGACAGCTGGCAACACAGGTGGCCATGGTCCCTGGTTCCACCAACTAGCCCACTATGTCATAGTCCCCAGATCTGCCAACAAAATGTGTCTACAAGGGCCCCAGGGAACCCAAGGCACCGACAACTGCCTCAGGTGCAGGCAGTACCCACACTGAGCATGAGAAGGCGGACATCCAGACAACATGCAGCGCCGCTGGGGGCACTGCAGGAGCCAGGGCAGAAAATAGGAAAGAGCTTTATTTATTAAAGGAGCCATCTGAGAGTCACTCTGGAGGGTCAGCCCACGCGAAAGCACTGGACTGCAGCATGCCTTCTTTCAGATGACCTGCGGACCCCACAGCACTCGCCAGGGGGCGCCTTTCAGAGCCACTGCAGCACTCTGGAGAGAAGGCGATCGCTCCGCTTCCACCTGACAGCCACTTCCTGGGAACACCTGTCAGGAGCTAAGAAGGCAGCTTACCGTCCAGGAGTCCATAGGCAGTAAGGTCAGGGAGGAAAAGCAGCTGTGACCCGAGCAATCCAGGCCTGGTGCTGAAGGCGGCTTCTGGGTGAGGGCCCCTGCCCTCCTGCTCCATGCCTGGGGAGGCTGCTACAGCCAGACAGCCAAGAGTTGCAACGCCACCTACGTGCGGTTCAGCGTCTGGAAGATTCTAGAAATCTGCAGCATGACTGGGCCGGTTTCTGGGTCATTCATCCACTGGGTGCTGTTCAGTGGGTTCTCCAGCATGTCTTCAAATGCTGTGGACATACAGTGAGGCTGAGTACCAGCACCCAGAAACCAACAAGCACAGGGGCGACTCTCCTCTCGATGCATAAAAGAGGAAAGGGTCACTCAAAGCTTCTGCCAAAAGCCAGGAGGGGTGGTGCACACCTGTGATCCCAGTGGCTCCAGAGGCTGAGTCAGGAGGATCCCAAGTTCAAGGCCACCTTGAGCAACTTAGCAACGCCCTAAACAACTTAGCGAGACCCTGTCTCAAAAAAATTTAAAAAGGCTGGGGATGTGCTTCAGTGGTTAAGGGCCCCTGAGTTCAATCCCCAGAACCAAAAAAAAAAAAAACCACTTCACTGCTGATGCTAAGTCCCAGCCTAAAATCCCCTGGACAATACCCAACAGTGACCCAAACAGCAGATCTGAAAACAGAAGCTGCTATTCCATCTGGCAGGGCGCAGCTCGCCTCTGTGCTCAAGCACCTGACTCTGGACGGCCACCTGGCAGCAACTACCAGGACCCCAAAACTCACCTCAACCTGCAATCCCACACTGAGAAAATAACGCAGGCACAACTAACGCACAAAGGCCTGCTGCAAATTTAATAACACTGAGTTGAAAATCTAACTTTCAATCTTAGGAAAAAACAGCACATCAGAGCTGGGGCTGTAGCTTACGGGTAGAGTGCTTGCCTAGTAGTGTGAGGCACTGGGTTCTATCCTTGGTACCACATAAAAATAAACAGATAAAACACACACACACAAAAAAAAAACAGCAAAAAGGTAATGGAAGAGCTGGGCTGCAGGGGGTGGGGGGTGGTGAGCACTCACACAGCATGTGGAAGACCTCGAGTGCAGCCCAAACAGATAAGGACAAACTGTAATGCAGCACTTCTTCAAAATCAAAACTCTTGACTTTCTCAACAGTTTTATAAAATCGTTCCCAAAACCAGGTCCGCTTTATGGCAAAAAGCTCAATGACCCAGCCATACCGCAGGACAGCGATCCCAACTCCGCCAGCAACAGACAGCCTATGCCAGGCCTGGCCACCTCAGCAAAGATGGCCCACGCCCATGTCCAAGGCTCCAGCGAAAGCACCAAGCAGGAGTAGTCCTCCTCTGGGGCAATCGGACCAGAAGTGGTTCAGATTCAAGGTTGTCAGCTTTATTTATCTATTTATATACATTTTTTTGTTGTTGTTTTTTGGATAGTACAGATTGAACCCAGGGGAGCTTTGCCACTAAGCCATACCCCTAGTCCTAAGCTGGCCTTGAACTTGAGATCCTCCTGCCTCAGTCTCCTTTGCTGGGATTACAGGCATGGATACCACCATACCTGGCTTGGGTTTGGAGTATCTGCAGAGGTTTCACCAGACAATCATCCTTAATGCTCCAAAATCTGAAGCTTTTTTTTCTCCCCTTTCTTGTTCTTTTTTTTTTTTTTTCCCCCATTAGGGATGCTCAGCCTGTGCCTCAGCAGCCCGCAGCCACTCAGCATCAAGTAGGACCCTGGCCAGGCTCAGAGCACAGAGTGGATCTGACTGTTCTAAGAATGACACAACCACCTCCCAGCCCCAGCCACCTGCTGATGTGCCTAACACCTCTGCAAACCAGGGAAAATCTCAGGCTGCAGAAAGGCACGTGGGGCTGTGAGAACACAGGGCGAGGCGAGCGTGGCATCTGACAAAGGAAGCAAGGACTGGGAACCCCACTTCCCAGCCCCCTGATTCAGAAAAATAGGGAACCCCACTACCCCCTGCCTCCCCGCTACAGAATAGGGAATCCCATTTCCCC